ATCATACTATAGTAGGTTGGACATCAGTAGAGGAACAATATCCATCATTGTTAGAAATCTATTTTGCTCTTTTCATTAAACTGAAAATTGAAAAACTGGTCAAAAACATCACTGTACACACATTCACAGTTGCAAGCTTTTTATGCATACACCTAAATAAAATGATTAAAAAGAAAGTTAGTCCAAGTACTCCCATGATTACAAAGATATTCTTATCCTCAGTCTCAAGTGTTTGGCTGACTTACAATCTGAAGGTTTCTTATAAAAGGGGAGGTTAATGTGGTGCACATTCAGGTTACTCTAGGGCAAGAAATAAGTGCTCAAGGGAAATATTGCACACAAGCAGCTGCAATTAACAGCTTGCAAAGAGCTATGAATAAAGTTCCGCAGAGCACTGATCACAAGGTTCTACTTCTTGCAATAACAAACGGTTCTGTTATCAAGGATGTCAGATGAAACACAACTGCCCAATACTCCCTAAAGAGACCCTGTCTACACATAAGAAGAAAACACAGACAGGTTGGTCACTTCTTAGGAGTCTGAAATTGCTGCAGCTGGCAGGGCCCCTGTAAGTATAGTCAATGCAAGTTCCAGGACTCTTTTTTTAAGGGCAGTATGTGGTAACAGGTATATAAAGCCAAGTCCACCTTTTGTGAAAAAATACTAAATCCATAAATATTTGTAAAAAGAAAATTATATGTACAGTATTCAATAAACCTGAAGTTTATTCCTTACATTTTAATAATTGAAGTGCTTTTGAGCTTCTATGGTGTATAATACATTGTATACTATTTAACCTGAAAACAATATTTGTGGTTCGCTTACACTACACACTCGTATTAATGTGTGGCTCTAATCAATATACAATGGTGTTGTGCGCCAGTGACAATCCCAATTATATCTGTGTGATCAAATATCTCAATCATATTATTGATATTCCAATTAAAAAATAGTGATAAGGAAAAATTCCCATAAATCTTAAATTGTGCCGTGTGAAATTCTGACGACAATTATAAATATTATTCAATTTGATTATATTTAATCTGATTAGTATATCAAAATAAATGTTAAAATATAAACAAAAGTCCACTTAGTGATAATGTTGCAAAAGTGCTTTTTTGCATATTATCACTAAGTGGACATTTGTTTAGTATATCAAAATAAATGTAAAAATATAAATATTCAATTTGATTATATTTAATCTGATTATATTTTTAGATTTATTTTGATATACTAAACAAAAGTCCACTTAGTGATCATATTTCAAAAAAGCACTTTTGCAACATTATCACTAAGTGGACGTTTACGTTTATATTTTTACATTTATTTTGATTAAATATAATCAAATTGAATATTTATATCTGATTATATCAAAACAAATGTAAAAACATGAACAAAAGTCCACTTAGTGATAATATTGCAAAAAAAGCACTTTTGCAATATTATCACTAAGTGGACTTGTTTATATTTTTACATTTTGATATAAATATTATTCAATTTGATTATATTTAATCTGATTAGTATAATAATTTTTTTTCATCAGAATTTCACACGGCACAATTTAAGGTTTATGGGAATTTTTCCCTTTTCACTATTTAAATTAGAATATCAATATATTATTGAGATATTTGATCACACAAATATAATTGGGATTGTCAGTGGAGCGCGACACAATTGTATATTATATTCCTTACATTTTGCCTTCCCTGGTTCCTCCTTTACATTTTTATTACATACTTTGTTAGACCCAGTGACTTCATCACTAGGCCTCTCTGCTCTATTCAATGGAGGAAGATCATGGCTAGTGGGCAGGGTGTTCTACATATCTTCCCAAAAATGGCAACACCTTACCTCAGTACTCCTTTCAAGGGCCCTCGAGCCCAGACACAGGCCAGTGGGGCTTTGGAGGGGTTATAAAAATGCCTTGATGGGCGGGCATCAGTCTGCATGTAATTACAGTCTGCCTAGGAGTGGGGCAGGGACAGTCAGGTTAGGGAGGGAAAGGGTTAGACTGACCATTTGGAAACTCTTGCACCGCCCAAGGGACCGGGGTCAGTAGAGGGCCCCATGAGATGCCCCTGGTACCTTTTTCATAGGCTTTTTTGAGATTGGGCAAGGACACAGGGGCCCCATGATCCCCTATTGCCCGGGGGCCCCATGAGTTGTCAGTCCGCCCCTGGTTAGATGATGCTGGATGTCCCTCAGCCAGGAATTGAGGTGGGCTCCAATTTATTACTGCTATGAACAATGTAAGAAGCTGACAAGTGTGCAGTGAGTCTGGGTTCACATATGTGCAGAACCCGTTTGCGGTGCAATTTCGTTCAGTAGTTCAGCTGCAAATTGTTAAAGTGCATGACATTGGAAATCGCACCTAAACTGGGCTGAAAATCATAGACACTCTAAAATCGCATTCCTTCCGGCCCCCATATATGAACCGGCTCCATATAAAGTCAATCGGTTCACTTATATGTGAATTGGATGCATTTTGAACCGGGTCTGAAAAGAGTAAACAATACAGGAGATGAGCCTGTACAACTAACCCCCTGGTTCACACCTATGCGGCCGTGTTTTGCACGGGCGCAAGAGCCCATTAGTTTGAATGGACTCCCGTACCCCGTAGAGAAGAAGTCCCTGCACTTCTGAAAACGCAACCCGCACGGGAACCTAGGTTTCCCATATTGCATGCGGGCGGCGAGCCATTAGAACCAAATAGCACCCGATCGCAGGTTCGCATTCCTGTGCAGTTGGTGCGGATGCACGGATTTTCGTGCGGATCCGCAGCGGCACCACCCGCACAGATGTGAACCTAGCCTGAAGAGAAGGCTGCAGCTCAGATCTAATGATAGCTGTAGTGACCCCTCTGCTTTAAAAGTTAGTAGTCAGACCAATACATGCATCATACACAGCTGAAACCACCTTAGAGTCCCTTTTTTGTAAGCTCAGAAGAATCAATGAAATTAATAGGATGCAGAGCAGGCAGTAGGTCATGACGGGTGTCATCGCCCTCCTAATATTAAGCAGCCCAACAGTGCAGCAAAGGGGGACGGCTCACAAGAGTACGCACATGACATCTAGATTGTAAGCTCCCAGGATCAGGGCCCTCCTAACCCTCTTGTATTGAACTGTATTGTTGCTGTATTGTCCCCCATTATATTGTAAAGTGCTGAGCAAACTGTTGGCGCCATATAAATCCTGTATAATAATAATAATAATATATAAAATCCTGTATAATAATAATAATAATAATATCATTTGGAATATAAAAAAATTCCTGCAAGTACCGACTGACAAAAGCTCAAACATAATATATGCTCCAACCTATCCTTCCAGCCCCAAGTCCAATCTTTAACAAACTCGTGCAGACTCCACCTCCACAACATCGCCAAAATCCGCACGTTCCTAACCCCAGAAACCACTAAACAGCTCATCCACTCCCTCATCATATCGCGACTCGACTACTGCAACTCCCTCCTCACTGGCCTGCCTCGCCGCTGGCTATCCCCGCTTCAGTCCATCCTGAATACGGCAGCCAGACTCATTCACCTTTCCAACCGCTCCGTTTCCGCCACCCCCCTCTGCCAATCCCTCCACTGGCTTCCGATTGCCCAACGGATCAAATTCAAAATCCTAACACTGACATACAAAGCTGTCCACCATACTGCCCCGAACTACATCACTGACCTAATATCCAAGTACCACCCAACACGCACACTCCGCTCCTCACAAGACCTCCTTCTCTCTAGTTCCCTGGTCTCCTCCTCCCATGCCCGCCTCCAGGACTTCTCCAGGGTGTCACCCATCCTCCAGGGTGTCACCCTCCCTGCCCCAACCCATCAGATTATCACCTACTCTCCTCTTTTTAGGTGCACCCTGAAAACGCACCTCTTCAGGGAAGCCTACCCCACCCCCTGCTAACCTGCCAACCTCCTCCACTCTTCCTACCACTCCATCCCCCACAGCTATCTCCTCCTGTGCCACCATCCCCTCCCTCCTAGATTGTAAGCTGAAAGAGCAGGGCCCTCAATCCCCTCATGTTTTGCATTGTATTGGTATTGTTCTGTCACATGTTCTGTCCCCCTTTGTAATGTACAGCGCTGAGCGAACTATTGGCGCTTTATAAATACTGTATTATAATACTAATTAATAATAATAATAATAATAAGCCGCAATTATCTGTCCGAGTCAAGAATCCTTCAACACAATGAGCAAAAACAGAATTTAATTTGATAATTTACAGACAGCCGGAGCCAGTACAGAATAAACAAATCTGCTTATATACTTTATTATTAGTGCTTATATTGCTAGAAATAAAACATCTGGATTTCTCTTGTAGCATACGGAATCGTTCAAAAAACATTGCGGACTTTTCCTAACCATTATTTTAATTTATAGAATAAGAAGGACAGAGGGCAAGAGGCGGCATGTACATCCGCTCCTACTTCAGAGGGTGGAGTACGCGCCACCCGACACCTCGTCAGTCCTTGACACCTCAGTGACCACTCTCTCACGCTCGCTCTCTCTCTCGCTCTCTCTCTCCTACTCACAGGGACTAAAACAAAAATAAGGAAAAAGAAAAAAAAAAACAAAAAACACAAACTGTTGAAACAAACTGAACGTCGTCAACCGAAGTGTCCCTTGAGAGTGCCGGCATCCTTTGCTTTCAACATAAACAGTACTTTCCGTCAGTGCCATTCAAGCTGCTGCCAATGTGCAGCCCATAAAACTGTCAGCAATCAAGATCAATGCTGGACAAGACTGCTGCTTCCTCCCCATTTTGGGAAGGTTTCAGGAGGGTCCTCTGCTGGCATAAGCCCAAACGCACGTCAGAAACATGCTGGAAAGTGAGAAAGACTGGATCCGGAACACGTTGCATTGACTTACAGAGGAGACCAATGTCTTCCAACGCCGCCTTGGCAGAGGGGAGGGGGGAAAAAAAAAAAAAATATACAGGTTGTTCCACAGTCCAGCGACTGGGGACCGGAGTCCGTGGAAGAGCTTCCTCAGTGTCGCCTCATTTTTACTTTCCGGGCTGGGCTTCCCTCATCCTCCCCCGTATCTGTGTAGCTGTCCACATACTCGTAGGGCCTCCGCCAATAGTTCTCAGAGCTGACAATGCTCCGTCTCCTTGGTTTTGGTAAAAGTACAGATCTTCGGTTTTCTTCTTTATCCATTTCAAGAACACGAGGTCTGAGGAACGAGACAAAAAAAAAAAAAAAATAGGGTTTAATGATAGGATTCAGCTGCTGCCTCCAATGGATTCCATATACATGAACCAGTTAAAGCGTTTTTGCATTTTTATCAGCACTATAATCAAGACCAAAAACACTAAGTATTCCAATCTTAACCCCTTGGTGCCGGCACCTCCTGGCCCTTTAAGGGTTTCAGAAGCCAGGGGCAGGGTTTTAGGGTCATGTGACCGCTGTGATTTGCAGTCACATGATCAGGAAACTTCCTGATCGAAAGAGGAGATGGGGACCTGTGAGTACCGGACCATGTGTGCTGGGAGCGCTCTCAGCACATAGGTTTTTCTTAATTGCACGCAAAAGTGCGGCCGCTCACCGTCAAGGCCCAGACACCGGGAGGCCACACATTTGCCTGCGGCCGGCACCAAGAGGTTAAAGTAACTAAAAGGCAAAACTAGCTTTTTTTTCAGTGTTAATACAGTAAGGGAAGTTTATAACCCGGTCAGGTTTTTTATTTTTTTCTCTCTTCACCATGTCACATTGGGTAGGTTTCCCTTCACTTCCTGTCCCATAGCCAAAAATAGAAAGGGAGGAGGGAATCCTTCCAAAACTAGGTAATCCTCTTGTGTCACCAATACTAGTGTCGCCATTGGAAGATTTACCCTCTACTAGCGTTCTGATGGCAACCCACAATTTGGGATTCCTTTACTTTCAATAATAACAGTAAACTGAACAAATAGAGAGGTTGAATCTGCCCAAAAGGGCCCACAGACAGCAATAAAAACCTCAAATCTGAAACCAATATAGTGGCGCCTCCTTAATACACACATTTGAAAGAAAAAAAAAAAAAAAAAAAAAAAAATGATAGATATATATATTTTTTTTATTAGCGACAAATATGAATGTGAAAACCAAGTGCACGGGTTAGTTTGTTAGGTGTACAAACACTAATAGACCATTATTAATATTCACAAAGATAGGAAATTGCTGAATGTATAGTGGTAAGCACAAGTCTATAGAACCTGAAATATAAATTCTAAACAAAATAAAAGTCCACTTAGGTGCATTTCCCAAAATCACACTGTGCTATGGAGCCTTTAACCACTTCAATAATCGGGCACTTTTACCCCCTTCCTGCCCATGCCGATTTTCAGGTTTCAGCGCCCTCAAACTTTGGGTACAGTGTCACATGACCGCTCAATTGTCAAACTAAAATTTTATCATTTCCTTCACACAACCAGAGCTTTCTTCTGGTGGTATTTAATCACCACTGGGGTTTTTATTTTTTTCTGCTAAATTTAAAAAGAAAAAAAAAAAACAAAAAAAAACAAAAAAACTGAAAATTTCGAAAATACAAAAAACACATTTGTTTCTGCTATAAACGTTTGCAAATAATTGTGCTTTATAAAATTTAGATGCCAAGATGTATTCTTACATTTCTTTGGTGAAAATAATCCAAATCCGTATTTATTATTTAGTCTGTAGGAAAGTTATAGAGATCACAAAACTATGGAATATATTGGAAAACTGATCGACCCTGAAGTACTGACGGCCAATCTAATTTCTTGAGGCCCCCCAAATGTCAGGACGGGACAGATAACCCCCAAATGACCCCTTTTTGCAAAGTAGACAGTCTGATGTATTTCACAAGAGGCATGGAGAGTTTTTTGAAGTTTAAAATTTTTTAATTACTTCATTTTCCGAAAAAGGACAAAAAAATTTTTAGTCTACCATAGTAACCATTGTAACTTGTACTACTTTGGGGACGTGATCAGAATTTTTTTTTTTCCACACACAATTTGATTGCTTATAGCAAAGAATTTAACTGAATGAAAATCGACTCAGTTTTTTTGTGGCAATTAGCCACAGCTAATGTCATGGACAGGCTGGGCCAGTCACAGCCCATCTGTGTGATGTGATCACTGACCATTCACAGCTAGACACTTGTATACAATGGATGGCATGAAAAGGAAGCCATCCATTGTATACAACTGTCATGTGACCTGCTTTGATTGGTTACAGCAGGTCACATGGTACTGACAACAGGGCAGGTACACAGATCTGTCATCGGCTGTCTCGGAGGTACACAGCAGCCGGTGACAGATCTCACCACAGCACGGCCCTGAGGGCACGCGCAAAGCACGATCCAGGAAGGTCGTCATATGATGCCCTACCGGAGGGACAAGGTTCGCCCGGCCGTCATTTGAATATAGGCTGGGCAGGAAGTGGTTAAGAGGATGCTGGGTCATGCCAATCTCCCAAAACTTTACCACTTGTGCTCATAAAAAAGTGCACAGAGGATTTTGACATCTTTTTACAGGATGGTCAGACCACACTAAATTCCCCAAGGATGTTTTCTCATGAGGTAAGTCTCCAAACTCTCCTTCATTCGGTTGTGTCACGATGAAGCAGGAACATTCGTTTAAAGGCATCTTAGGGTAGTATTTATCAAGAATGAATATTCAGAGAAAAGAAAAAAAAAAAATCACTCACATTAAACAGTGACTGCAATACCAGCATCAGTATACACTGTATACTGCAATCAGTGAAAAATGAGTGATTTTTCTATTATTTATTACAGGTACTTATATAGAGCCATCCATTTACACAGCGCTTTACATATATATTGTACATTCACATCACTCCCTAACCCTCAAGGGGCGTACAATCTAAGGTCCCTAACCCTCAAGGGGCGTACAATCTAAGGTCCCTAACCCTCAAGGGGCGTACAATCTAAGGTCCCTAACCCTCAAGGGGCGTACAATCTAAGGTCCCTAACCCTCAAGGGGCGTACAATCTAAGGTCCCTAATCCTCAAGGGGCAATCTAAGTACAATCTAAGGTCCCTAACCCTCAAGGGGCGTACAATCTAAGGTCCCTAACCCTCAAGGTACAATCTAAGCCCTACAAATCTAAGGTCCCTAACCCTCAAGGGGCGTACAATCTAAGGTCTAAGGTCCCTAACCCTCTACACATTCACATACATACACATACTAGGGACAATTTAGACAGGATCCAATTCACCTACCAGCATGTCTTTGGAGTGTGGGAGGAAACCCACGCAGACACAGGGAGAACATGCAAACTCCAGGCAGGTGGTGCCCGTGGTTGGGATTTGAACCAGCAACCCGAGTACTGCCAGGTGGAAGTGCTAACCACTTAGCCACTGTGCTGCCCCTTTTATCTGAATACTCGATCATGATAAATACTACACTCAGTGATAAAGCAGGGAACATCCATTTAATAGCATCTGAGTGTACTTAAATGACACAACTGAATGAAGGCGAGTTTGGAGACTTACCTCATGAGAAAACATCCACAACATGCACTTTTTATGAACACGTGGTGAAGGTTTGGAAGATTGGCATGACCCAGCATCCTCGTAAAGGCTCCATAGCGCAGTGTGGTGTTGGGAAATGCACCCAAGTGGATTTAGTTTATAACTATATTTAAAGTTTTGTGGACTTGTGCTTACCACTACACATGGAGCAAGTGCCCATCTTTGTATGGAGCAATAGAAACCTGACAGGTGTTCTAATCCCTCCCCACTCCAAAAAATAAAAAAAAGTGTTAAAAAACTTCTCTAAAAATTAGTCATTGCAATTGTTCAACCCAAAGCCCTGGCCTTACAGTACTTTACTACAAGTTGTCCTCAGTCTTCAAGGCCAACTCTACCTGGGAGGACTGAGGATACACTGAATGCAAGTCTGTCCAGGAAGATTAAAGACGTATGGCCAAAGCGGATTAAGCTCTACTTCTCCTGTAGGTCACTTTGTTCTGCACTCCTGTGACCCAGATTCAGGTAACAGCAGGGCTAAAGTCCGATATCGTCTGTCGTCAACTTAGTCAGTCCACACTCTGGGGGAAACCTGACTTTAATGTCGGGATCCACCCAGATGTTTGAACCCCCCCAGTGAGCTTTGGAAGGTAAAGCAGAGAGCCGGTCACTAAACCAAGCACACAGCAGTCTCTGATCACTCTGTTCTCAGTCTAAGACAGGGGTAGGCAACCTGCGGCTCTCCAGCTTCTGCAGGACTACAAGTTCCATCATGCCTCTGCAAGTCATAGCTGTAACTGTCAGTTTTGTAATGTTGCAATTCCTCATGGGAAATGTAGTTCAACAGCTAGAGAGCTGCAGGTTGCCTACCCCTGGTCTAAGAGGTGGTAGATGACAGATTGAGCATCCGATTGATGCTGCATCCACCCAAGTGAGGGGTTTTTTTTTTTTACAAAAAAAAAAAACAAAACAAAAAAAAACCCTCATACTTCTCTTAGGGCCAATTTACACATGTGACAGTGACCAGTGTTTTACCGCAAGGTAAAACGTGTCATTGCAGAGACATATTGGAAACAATTGTTTCCTATGAATCCCATTCACACTGCAATGCAGCCTGGCTGTTGCTGCAATGAAATGAAGAAAATGCTGCATTGTATCGCAGCACACCGTCCAGAATCGCATTGCAATAGTCAGGCAGCACATTAAGCTGCTGGACATTGCTGTGAACAAAGTTTTTGTACGCTTCAAAAAAAAAAAAAAAAAAAAAAAAAAAAAAAAAAAAAAGCCAATACAAAAAACAAAGCTGTACAATGCGCTGAATTGTGCACCACACTGCTCCCCCTAGCACAGCCAGCACCGGAGGGCTGTCACAACAGTAAAGTGTGAATTCACCCAAAAAGGATATATTATGCATGAGGGTGTGATGGGCATCCCCCCGCCGAGTGCGGTGTTACCACAGCCTCTTCCTTTTACAGCATTATGATTAACAAAGTAACAGGGATGGCACCACCACTCTCTGCATCATCCAGGAACACTCAGCTATGGGAGAAGCTCAGAGGAAAAAGGAGCCTCCGAGCCAAATTTTAGCATGGACATTTATAGCATTAGAATGAAATTTCAGAGACCGATTTATATATAAAGCTGAACTCCAGGCAGTTCTACAACAAGGCACACATTAATACACCTTGGAATTATATAATAAACCGGTATATGCAGTTTTAAATTCAAGCAGTGTAAGTAAAATGAATTTGATGTACAGGCTATATAATAGGACAGAAGAAGATACCAAATTAGGTCAGATGGGGATGAGAAAAAAGGAGGACAAGGAACCATGGAGGTGTTCTGCAATGCAATCAGCATGCTGATAGAAGGATAGAGCAGAGATGAACTCATTTGTGTGCAGTTTCTCCTTTCACTATGCGGTCACAGGGTGGGTGGAGGTAGGCAAAAGACCAAAGAAATGGTAGCAGAGAACGATCTATTCCCCCAACACTGCCGGACCGGACTGAGCTGTATGGCAAAGCTGTGTAAACCTCAGGACTCAATACAAATCCTTTGGAAGGAAAAACAGCTCCCATATACAGTATGTATTTTATTTGTGTAGTCAGCCATTTGCCTGGAGGTCAACTGGAAAGCTCTATTCTATGTTACAGTAATGGTTGGGTGTCAGAATGAAGACTGTGGGAACGGTGCATCACCCCCAATTATTGCAGCACTCTAACAAGATATGCACATCCCAAGGACAAAAAAAAAAAAAAAAAAAGTTAACCGACCAAGCCACAGAGTAACCCGGGAAGAGTCTGCAGTCATTTCCATACCTGTGAGCTGCGTCAGGATCAGCTTTGCGGTGGGAGCGTTTTGGTTTCAGGATTTGCTGCCTGTTGTTCCCAGACAGTCGTTCAGGATGATAAATTCCACTAAGGGCCTTTTCCAAGCGTGGAGCCTCTGTTCTAGTTCTGGCAATAAAAGAGAAACCACACTAATATATATACTGCAGCATGCAGATGTAAGCAGAGCAGAACTGCAAAGGGAAATACAATTTGATTGCATCAAGGCAGGACACAACCCAGGAGCATGTAGCCTACATGCTAGAAAAAAAACAAAACAAACAAAAAAAAAAAAAAAAAAAAAAAAAAAAAAAAAAAAACTACACAGTTGGCACTTAACATTTTCAAACCTATTCTCTACAGCTGTCAAGTAAAGCTTACCAGACCTTAGATGCAATGTCTGCATTTGTTTACTTTTTAAGCTAACACTTTCAGCAAGTACAGAATATCTTTTGATCTTGCCAGAAATGCTGCGACCTTGTCACTTCTGTTTGTAGCCCATCCAGGGTGGCAATCATGGCTTCCTCCATACAGCTGAGGAGTGAGCACAGCCACCCAGGGAAAGGAAGGGTGTTATTTGCAGCATTAAATAGGTGAAAATAAAAAAAAAAAAAAAAAAAAAAAAAAAAACAAAAAAAAGATGTAGCCAACCACATTTAAGGACTTGCAAGCTGTAATAAATTACATTTGAGTTTAAATGCACTTTAAAAACAAAAAAAACTTTACATTTTAAAAACATCTAAAAACCTATACGTCCTGTCTGCTATTCGCCCTGAAGTCTGGAATGGCAGGTTTTTTTGAAACATAGTGGAACAAGCTTTTCCAGCCGCCACAGGTGGAATTTGACTGGATGTTATGGGCAACAGTGTGACACTGAGAACCAAAAAGGCACATTTCAGGGTTATGGGGGGAGGGTTAGGGGGGGGGGAAAAAAAAAAAACAACCCCATCCCACACAGATCTAAAGCATTAAAAAGAGAAAATTAATATATCACACATACACAATTAGGGTAGAGAAAAATTCAGTAGCAGTTCCCCCAAAACAGTATTAAACCCAAAAACAAACATTTTGCTGCTTACCAATTAGGCTCCATGCACACTGGGCATTAGCTGTGTAAAGTCACATTTTTGCAAAAGCATTTAGCACCATTTTGCCGCGTTTGTGGTTTTAAGTGTGGTTTTACCCCCCCTTCCCAAAAAAAATAAAAAAGGTTTTTTTTTTGCTCCAAAAAAAAAAAAAAGTCCTAAAAAGCCAGTTTGCTACGATTTACAGCATTTTTCAGCATTAAAATTTTTTTCCCAGCAAAAACAAAAAAAAAGCAATTACAGTCTGTGTCCATGGACACATAGAACATGCTGGGGAGTTCACTGGCTGTAGAAAAAAAAAACACAAAACAAAAACAAAAAAAAAAAAAAAGCAAAAAATAAGCAGCTGTAAAAATGTCCAGTGTGCATAGACTTAGATGTGGTGGCTGCATTAGTTTCCTTTTCAGGCTCTTCGCAAACGTTCATCTACTGATTCAGCCAGCAAGTCTGTTTTTCAAAAGCTCACTCTCCCCAGCAGAATGTATCAGTTTACATGGATGAGACGAACCATTTTCCATTGGTAGGGGCGATTCAATGATCAGCTTTTATTTTTTTTTCAGATTTTATTTATTCACGTAATATCTTTATCCCAAAAGGTAAACAAACTTCTGTAAATTATAAAGTGTTAGCAGATTTAAATACTTTCCCTGAAGCCAAACAGCAGCTAATAACTGGAACACTCGTCTCCACCCCAGGCTGAAAAAAAAAAAAAAAAAAACAAACAAAACAAAGGGGCACACAAACAATTCTGCTGTGCCCCCTGTGCTCCTTCACCCAGAGTGCAGGCCCTCTAATATAGGAGGTGCGCTACTGGCCAGATCACCAGGTGGAGAGAAAAAAAAAAAAAAAAAAAAAAAAGGGAGGGGGTGGAGGCGATTGGTTTGGGGATTAGTACTGCAGTAAACACGTACCCGAGCCCATTCTCGATCCAGCATTGCCCCGCCTGCAGCAGCTCTTCTCCCCTGTTCCTGTATTCACAGGAAGCCTTGACAGTGGCAGGAATCAGTTCTCCTGTTACTTCCCCTGTTAGTATAGCCGGGAAGGAATGTATTGAAATGCGATCTGCATTGCAATATATTCAGTGGAGCCCAGAGAAGACATGCATGTCTCAAAAGAGAACCTGTCACCAAAAATTCATCACATAGGGGACTCTACGTGATGGGAGGGAGATGTTACACCCAAGAACATAAAACCCCCCCCCCCCCCCCCAAAAAAAAAAAATAATTGAGGCCCCCCACATATACGCACGTACGAATGTAACACACCATGGGGCGTCTACGCATGAAAACGATTGCCATACATTGTCTGAACGACAGCAATATTTTCTAGCACCAGACCGCCACTAAACTGATGACCTGTAGATCTTTTGAAGAGTCACCTATAGAAAATATAGGGCACTGAAGTTTGTCACCATTTCACAGATGCACACAAAATGTAAAAGGTTTGACATTTTGGGTATTAACCCGGTGCAACCTCGTCTTACCAAAAAAAATTGGGTAATTTATTGCGTTTGTTTGCCCTAAAATTCACTTTAGTGTGTTTTTTTTTTACTGAAATATTATATATCCTAGACCTTTGGGGTAATATCGTGTGACGTAAATTGGAACTACCACCCTTTTTATTTTAGGGTGTCTGCTTTGAGAAAATATATTTGGGGGTTGTGTGTAATCTTCAGGCACAAAATGATTATTTGGACATGTATGCAAAAAACAACTGTGGCAACAAAAAGGGATAACAAAATGAAAAGCAAAAATGTTCAACTTACTTTCTAAGTATTACCACAGCACGTCTCTCCTTTATGTCTTGTGGTCTAATGCAGTGTGTGATCTCATCTGCTGCGTACCCACTGCAAGAAAAGAAAAAAAAAAAAAAAACAAACAATTAAAACACTTTTCTCCACTTTTTTTTTTTAAACTCGTGAACCATATTATTGATATAAACAGAAGACTTGTATAGCACAGTTTGCATAGCACCAGGGGAGGACTGACCATTCGGGCACTGCCCGAGAGCCCAGGGTCAGTGGGGGGCCCCATGAGATGCCCCTGGTACCTTTCATAGGCTTTTTTGGGTGTGGTTTCAGTGTGAGCAAGGACACAGGGGCCCCATGATCTCCTATTGCCCGGGGGCCCCCATGAGTTGTCAGTCCGCCCCTGCACAGCACATTACAAAATGTAGGCAGACAGTACACTTACAATAAGATTCAATCCAACAGGAATTACAGGACCCGGCTCGTTGGAGCTTACAATCTAAATGGCATAAAAACGAACACGCAGTAACACACCAACTACGCACAAGTAGACCATGCTACTGGATCCTTTGACAGTCGTTTCAACTCTACAATCACCACACATTACATTCTTACACAAATCCAGCGAAGTAAAAAAAAAAACTGTTAAAGACAAAAATACAAGTAACGCACAGATAAAACTGGATATCATAAATGTCTAAACATTGACTAAACACCAGTTTTACAGAAGTATACAACAAAAAAAGGAAGAAGACCATCATATATCAAAAAGAAAAAGTCTAATAACACCTCTTGGACTGAGCCAAGAGGTGCAAGATGCAATCATAGTGCTCTGCTGGCTTGCTGACAATGAAAAGGGGAAATTAAACCAACATTAATCGGCTGCAAGAGTCAGGGATGGAGTGGGAATTGTAAAAGCAATCATTCACTAGTAATACTGCATCGAACGATAAGAAGCACCACTGGCAGAGAAAGTGCAAGTTCATTCCTTGCTCCGAAGGCACAAGACTGAAGATCCTGTTTCACAGCCTACACTCTCCTAATATGGATGCTGTCAGGGCAAGCAGGAGTGTTTCCAAAATTGGAAAAGCTGCCTGGGTCACTCAATGTCCCCTTCAGCTCAACCTCAATATGGGACAGAAATCACACACATGTATTCAGAGTTTAATAATACAATCAGGCTCTGGACACATGAGGCTCAGATAAAGTAAACAAAGGACCAGACTCATAGGTGTTATTTACTAAAGCTGGAGAGTACAAAATCAGGGTCACTTCTCCATAGAAACCAGTCAGCTTCCAGGTTTTACTGCCAAAGCTTCATTGAACAAGCTGAGGTTAGAAGCCGATTGGTTTCTATGCAGAAGTGAGTCTGATTTTGCACTCTCCAGCTTTAGTAAATAAACCCCATAGCATTAAAAAAAAAAAAAAAGATATGAGGACATTAATAAGACTTAAAGTGGAGCTGGGAGGGAAAAAAAAAAAAAAAAAAAAAAAAAAAAAAAAAAAAAACACTGTAGCTGCTGACTTTTAATATACAGCCACTTACCTGTCCCCCGGTCCAACGGTGTCCTCACCACGGCTGGTTTCATCGGCCATCTTCTCTCCCCGGAGTCGGCATCTTAAGTGTGGGCACCTGGATGTGACAGTTTGTGGCTTCACAGCCGGGTGCCCACTGTGCATGCCCGAGAAGCGCTGCATTTTGTGAATGGCCCCGTAGTCTTCTGGGACCTGTCACGTGTCCCAGAAGACTACAGGGAGGGAGGACAACTTCCGCTTGCCTAGGCGATCGCAGCAGAAGTGGGAGCGGATACCTGTCAAATTTGGGTACCCGCTTCCCCCCAGCTCCCCAAAGGTGCCAATCCTTAATGGGGACTGGGGGACAAAGTCTTGAAGTGGAAGTTTCCCTTTTCTTTGGGAAGCTATAAAAAAAAAAAAAAAAAGAACACAACTTGAATACTCACCTTGGTTGATGCAGCATCAATCCATGCTGCTGAACACTCAGTTCTCAGTCTTCACAGAGCACAGAGACAGTAACTTGTCAGTCACCAACTCTGTGCTCTGCCCCCCAGCACTCACTGGAGTGTGGGACCAAAACTAAACCCAAAACTAAACCCAACCCCAACCCAAACCCAACCCAACCCCAACCTCCTAAGTCTTTTAGCTGGCTTCTAGATTCAAAGCAAATTTGTCAAGCCTTGAAGTAGAGATTTCCTTAATTGGGAACTCAACCAACAGTTATGGTACATCAAAAATTTGTTCGCGATCAAGAAGTGGCTTGTCCGGTTCCCTCAGATTCCACCGGGTAATACAAATATATATCTGAAGCTTAACAGCTAATTACGATGTCCTTTTCAAGTGGATTACATAAAATGCTAATAAGGTTACTCCACAGAACAATCGCAGTGATCAGCAATCAGATCTGCCAGAACACCACAAACAAGGCAGTTGTGGCAATGAAGTCGATCTATGGAGTAGGTGCCTTTGCCAAGAGAATAAAGCTGACAAATGCTGTCAAAACAAACTGCCAACAGTCACACCGGGCTGTGTACACCTGCAGCCTTGTTTAAAAAAAAAAAAAAATTGGAAGGACCTGGAAATAAACATGTGCAGGAAATTACAGCACGTGAATCAATTGCCTGCTTTGTTTAAAAGGAGGAGTGTTTGGCAGGATATGTTGGCTGTGTGCACCTGGCAAACAGATCATGTTCCCTAGGCTGCACTTAAAGTGGAACTTTGCACAACACACAACTAGGCTCTTTATTGCAGAAAAGATATTGCACCAGACACTGCAGGTCTCTTCTGCAATAAGATGAACCTACCTGCCTGCTCCCTGTAAGCATGCCCAGCTTACATTCCGGTACAGTGCCTTGATGACTACACTCCTGCATTCAAGGAGTGACTTCCTTCCGTACTGACCAATCAAGGTGGCCGAAGACTGGCACCTGGAGGAAAGCAGGGAGAAAGTTCTGACACCGCCAGTGGGGGACCTTGCAGGCATCAGACCGTTGAAGCAGACATAAGCAAATATCATGGGAGTTTAATACCACTTTAACCTTCGTAGCGGTCTGATTATGTCAGTATTTCTGTGCTCAAAGCGGTACTTTTTTTTTGCATTTAAATATTTTTTTTTTAATTGTAGGCCTGTAATTTTTAGGAATAACTCACTGAAATCTGTCCGAGCAAGATTCTAGTAAACATCCCGGGTATGATAAAACTTTAAATACGAAATCATAAATTATAATTTAATCATAAAAAATATTAGATTTAATTCAATAATACAATCAAACCAAAAAGACTGAAATGTGAAATATAGCGCCAAGTTCGCACATCGCTGAGCAAAGTCGCAGAATTGTTTTCAGTGTCTGATGATGAATTTCCCCCACCAATCATTATCACTCAATTCTGCAAGTGGTTCTGATTTACTATCGCTGTTCTCTAGCCGGTCTAAAACAGATTTTGACCTAAAGAGACGCTTTTTGGACGCCATGGACGTTTCTCAGTTTCCAGGCAGAAAGAACAGTAAAAATGCAGGCAGGGGGCCAGACAAAGCACTCGGGACAAAATGTATGTGAAATGGTTTGATACAGGAATGTTATACTATGTGATTTTAGTGAATGTTACTTTTTGTCATCCAAATTTCCTGCCGTTCCGTCCCCCGTACGTCCTGACGTCGCAGGGGACGGAACCCAGAAGACGGATGCCGGCTTCCGCCGGAGGACATTACAGGGGACACTGCAGGAGGGACATCGCGGGAGCGCAGGACAAGGTAAGAGAAGAATAGATCCTGGAGCAATGCTGCAATGTATTCCCGAGTGTAGCTCGGGGTTACCGCTTGTGGTACTGAAATTTTACCCCGAGCTACACTCGGGAATACCGCCAGGGGGGTTAAAAAAATAGAACTGAAGGCTATTTATCACAGAAGAGATTGAAACAACTACCTGCAGCCAGGCTAATTTATCATCAGAAGAGATAGGTCAGCGATGCAGTGCCATTTACTTTCCTGCAAACAGAAAAAAACTACACCTTCAAAAAAAACTGTATCAAAAGTCAAAAAAAAAATCCACAACCATTACCTGCACACCCCACACACCTTAGAGGTGATTTATTCTTCCAAAGCAAATACATTTTTGCACACTGGTACCGACTAGTATTCCCATGCTTCTCATCTCCCTCAGTTTTTATCCATCACTGAGTTAATGTGACTCCAGAACTGATGGAGAGGGGCGGGGGAGGGTCAAAACTAGGATACTGTGCAGGTAGCAGACATCCTCCTTATCAACTGATGACATCACTGATTGTCAGGACACCGGTTGAGCACTGCTCAGCCATTCACAGGAAGCCTTGTATTTTATGAATAGGTATAAAGCTACCTCTGTTTTGCCAAGTTGGAGATTGTGCCGCTGTCCGCCTGACTTTCCAACTCGGCTAATCAGAGGAAACCTTGCACTTGTTCATAAAATTCAAGGCTTTCTGTGAATGGATCAGAGTGCTTTGATTCTGTTCCAGGGACATGATAGGAAGTCCCCACCTCGCTGCTGGAACACAGCAATGTATACTCCATTTAGATGATGCTATGTACAGTTTATACCGCGCTCACAGCAGAACATCTTAGTGAAGGCAAAAGTTCGCATGGACCAGCTTGGTCCAGATTATTTTAAAAAAGTGACAGAAAGCTGAAGTTAGGCTTAAAAGTTTAACTCCAGGCATGTGGCTAAATACAGAGTTAATGTGTCCCCTCCCTCTTAGAGTGTAAGCTCCCGGGATCAGGGCCCCCCTAACCCTCTTGTATTGAACTGTATTGTTTCCCGTTATATTGTAAAGCGCTGAGCAAACTGTTGGAGCTATATAAATCCTGAATAATAAAGTTAAAAAAATAAATAAAATGCTAAAATAGCTTATTGCAGATAAAAAAGGGTTAGTTCACCTTTACGATAAAAACTGCCTATGCAGGTATGGCGCGTCTTTAGAGAAAATTTATACACACACACACACACACACGCACACACACGCACACACACGCTGTACAGCGCAGATTAAAATTGAATAATGTACTTGGTATAGGCCATTTAAATGCTTCCCAAAGCCTGAATGGAATACTC